GATCCATGGTTATGTAATCAGGTCTGGGTTGGAATCAAATCCTTTCGTTCTCAATGGGCTGATTGATGTTTACAGTCGATGCAGAGTTTTGGACTGCGCTCTTGTGATCTTTCTGAACTCTTCAGCCAGGAATCTGGTTTCTTATAATGCCATGATTGATGGGTGTTGTAGAAACGGCAACTTGATGAAGGCCAAGGAGTTATTTTGTCAAATGGAAGTTGATGGAGTGAGGGCTGATACCATCTCCTGGAACTCAATAATTTCTGGGTATTGTGATGATGGAAACTTTGCAGAAGCCATGAAAGTTTTTGGAGAAATGCAGGAGCAAGGGGCTGAAGGTGACTCCTTTACCTTGGGCAGTGTTCTCACTGCTTGTGCTGCAAGAGCTGCAATCAGTGAAGGAAAAGAGATACATTCTTATGCAATATCAAAAGGTTTGAATTCAAATCCTTTTGTATCCAATGCCTTGATCGAAATGTATTGCAGATGCTTTGATTTTGATTCAGCTGAGCTGATTTTCGATAACATGGTTGAAAGAGATACGACGACATGGAATTTATTGACATCTGGTTATGCTCGTTCCAATCGACTTAACCGCGCCCAAAAGTTGCTTCGCGCGATGTGGGACGAAGGATTTGAGCCCAACATCTTTACTTGGAATGGAATAATTTCCGGTTGTATGGAGAATGGGCACAATGAATTTGTTCTGGAAATGTTGTCTGAACTCCAAAAAACTGGTTTGAAGCCTGATATATATACTATAGGGATGATCATACCTGCTTGTTCTCGACTTCTATCCCTTGAACAAGGAAAACAGGCTCATTGTTATGCAATTCGATGTGGCTATGACACCAATGTTCGTATTGGTGCAGCACTTATTGACATGTATGCCAAATGTGGACTCATAGAGAGCTCAGCCCTTTCGTTTGAGAGGATTTCATCACACAATTTGGTATCGTTCAATAGTTTACTTGCGGGATATGCAATGCACGGGCTCGTAAGAGAAGGCCTTGCGCTCTTTCGACGAGTGTTGGATGAGGAGATCATTCCCGATGAAATCAGTTTCTTATCACTTCTATCTATGTGTGTTCATGTTGGTTATGTCGAAGAAGGCCTTCGCTACTTCAATCTAATGGAAACTTATGATGTAAGGCCAAATTTGAAGCACTATACATGTATGGTAGATCTCTTTAGTCGAGCTGGCAAACTAAGTGAAGCATTTTTGTTTATTAAGAGTATGCCAATGGAGCCTGATGCTGTTATTTGGGGTGCACTGCTAAGTGGATGTGTTAGTTATCATAATTTTCAGTTGGGTGAATTTGCAGCAAAGAGGCTCATTGAGCAAGAAGGAGATAATGCCGGTAACTATGGTTTGGTAGCAAATTTGTATGCTAGTGCTAAACGATTCAAAGATTTAGCTCGAATACGGTCGATTATTAGGAATATGGGAATGCATAAGAGCCCGGGGTGGAGTTGGATTGAGGGAAAGGATCTAGCTCATGTGTTTGTTGCAAATGATAGTTCTCATATTAGAGCTCACGAAATCTATGCGACGGTCGACAGTTTGTCCATGCATATAAGAATGCAGGCTGAGATGGTTGGTGCGGTTTAGAAACTGAGACTATTAAGTGTCTGTTTGGGATGACTGTAAATGTTGCTATGATATAGTTGTGCATAATGTAAATTTTTTGGAAGCTATTGTTGATATTAACTTTCATTTCCCTTTCTAAGAAGTTGTAAAATAGTTTTGTTATGACCATCACACTTTAATAGATATGATTATTAAAAACTATTTGTTGATATAATATATACCAGCATACCAATCAATTTGTTTTCCTTGGTATTTTTCAACAAAATTTACAGAACTATAGGAAAGAAAAATTTAGTATTCTAGGTACATTTGTTTACTGTTTAGTGATAGATCACAAAAATATTGATGCTTTGATGCTTTGAAACTTTGGAAAAAATATTACAGTAATACGCATATAGAGTAACGTGCGCAGTCAATGAAATCAAGCCCAATGAAATCACGCACGACACCCCACGCGACAGGAAAAAAAAAAACGGCGCGGTAACACGGAGAATAATCCCTCCGACACCCCACGCGACAGGAAAAAAAAAACGGCGCGGTAACACGGACAATAATCCCCCCGTGTTATTCATGTGTTGTTGTGTATTATTCATGTGTTACTGATGTGTTATTGTGTTATTATAACACCAAGAATATTCTCATGACACAATAACACATGAATAACACACAATAACTTCATAATAACACGGAGGAATATTCCCAACAGAGAAAAACGACGCGGTAACACGGGAGAATATTCCCCTCCTGTGTTGTTCATGTGTTATTGTGTGTTATTCATGTGTCATTGATGTGTTACTGTGTTATTATAACACCATAAATATTCTCAGGACACAATAACGCTTGAATAACACGCAATAAGGGGGGGGGGGGGAAATAACCCCCGTTTATCCGTGCCTTTTTTTTTTTTTTTTTTTTCCTGTCGCGAGTACTGATATAATATTTTTTCGAGACTTTGAGAGTAAGTTATTTTACTTCAATCATATAGAATCTCAACTCATATTTAGGAGAATAGTAGTACATCTAACATATGAATTTGTTATGTAGCTGTCATCAATATAGCCTTATCTTTGTCCTTTCTGTGCACCTAATAAATTTGGGGCTTGTTAATTTATATCATTTACATGATTTCGCTTACATGTAATAAATCTCAACAGTGACCGGGCAGACTCCATTCATGTTGTTCGACGGAATGGAGACAATGTTGTTGGTCAAATAAAATTATCACAGCCAGCAAGTAGTTACAACCTCAGCTTTCGAAGAGGAGAATCTAGCCTATTGGAAGGAGACAAACATTGAAGGAGCAATGCTCGCACTCGACATGGCAGAAAATAATTGAACCAACTAAGCCCTCCAACAAGAAGAAGTTAAGAGATGCACTGCTCACTACTACAACAAACATGTCAGAGAAGTTCTTTGCTCCTGGGGACCTTTTTCTAATAAATGCTGATACATCCACTCGAGGGCAATCAGTCGGCAAGCTATACCAGACATGGATCTACCCATTCATCGTCGACCAAAAGGTCACCCCTGGAGCCTACAAACTCAAGACTTACACTGAAAAGGGAGTCTCTCCGACATAAAGCGAGGAGAATCTGAAAATATATTTTTTTCCATAGCCAATCTCTTATACTAACAACGCCCAAAAATTAATAAAGGAGTTTTTTGTTTCCATTTTGTAATTTTTTTCACAAGAAAATATTAAAAAGGACTAAACTCTATATGCATAATTCCAGATTCACATGATGGTATATATATATATAGATAGATAGAGTAAAATAAACAAAGCAAAGAATCTGACCGTTTAAAGTAAAAAAATCAACGGCTGTCCTTTCTCCATTTCAAATTTCGAAATGGCTAATTTCGTTTCCCTGCTGGGCCCCACTTCGTTTACGCTATTTATATATCGAAGATTGGCGTCTAATCGGGAACGCCACTGAGCCAAAACCCTAGATTCTGCTAAGAGGGAGCGCCATCCTCATCTCCATCCTCTTCATCAGTTCGGCTCTCCATCTTCACTCACACCCCGCGTTTTATTTCCATATCTGAATCTGTTGGTTTTGTTCTTCTACTCTATATTTTAACATTATCGATCGGTGGTGTTTGTGCAGGGACGAATCGATCAAGAAAATGGGGCAGATTCAGTATTCGGAGAAGTATTTCGACGATATTTACGAGTACAGGCATGCGTCCAGACTTTTCACTATTGAACACTGATTTCAGAAGTATTTCGACGATATTTACGAGTACAGGCATGTGTCCAGACTCTTCACTATTGAACACTGATTTCAGTTATTGGCTCAGTTGTTGGGTCCGATCTATGGTGATCAAGTGTTGATTGATGGTTTATTATTGATGGATGCAGGCATGTGGTTCTCCCCCCGGAAGTGGCGAAGCTGCTTCCCAAGAATCGCCTACTTTCTGAGGTAACTTGTAGAGTTTAGGGTTTAGTGTTGATCGATCGATCTTAAAATTCGTTGGGGAAATTTTGGATCCTCGGTTATTGTGTACTGATTCTGTTGTTTTGAATGTGATCAGAATGAATGGCGAGCCATTGGTGTGCAGCAGAGCCGGGGATGGGTTCATTA